ATAAGTTTATATATTTCTATTAATAGTCAATCCTTTATTGTTAACATCATCATTAGCATGTTAATCAAGTTATTAACAAGTTAATAATGACTGATGTCATATAATATGATAGCAGATTAAGATTTTTCTTAAGAAGTACAGCATTATATTTATATATACACAGACTGGCAAATATGATGTAATTAGCTTAATCAAGTTCATTTCAAGATAAATTTTGTCATTAACCAACTTTTTTTACATATAGTAAACATTTAGAGATAAAAATTAATTTAATTTTTAAAAATCACTTTTTAACCCTCGTCGACTTAGGCTTCGTTTGGGACAACTTTTTTATTGCTTATGAAAGCAACTTTTTGTATAAAAAGAAAAATTTATGTACTAAAAAATTATTTTAAGAAAGAGTAAGAAAGTCGTCCCAAACAAAACCTTAGCTCTATGTTTAAAGCAAAATAATATGAACAGAAAAAATTCTTCCACAATGAGCCAAATTTTAAAAGAGAAAAAAGGCAGTAGGATATCATGATCAAAAAGTGATCAAGATGGGTCTGAAAGAGTTTGATTTGCTTTGAAATTAGTGTTATATTAATTATTTATATATTATTCTAATCTCAAAGCATATTCAGATGTTTTGAGACTCATTCTGATCAATTAAAATTATAAAAATGTTTTGATTACAAATTTTCCATTTCATATAATTTTGATGATATTTAACTTTAATCCATCAAATTAAGGGTATGTTTGAGATAGCTTTCTGTTTGCTTTGATTTTCAGACAACAACTACAATTTTGTTTGCATTATAGGAAAAACTCGTATTTCTGGTGCCCTCTGGCAGACTGGCAGCCTAAATCAGCTGAAAAATTTCGTCGTGTTTAAGTAAGCTAGCAGGTTTTCTGCCCAAAGTTCAGCCAGATTATTTCCAATACATTTCCCACCGATAGGTACTGCTGGCTTAAAAAAAAATCGAAGAAACTGCCGACGGGCTTTCTACCTATAATATTCCGGAAGTTTATCCACCGGACAACCTATTGGGACGGGCGAAATATCTACCAATTACACCGTTGCTAGTTGCTACTACCAGAAAGTCCACCAGTAATGTCAATTTTTTTTACTGTAATGCTGGCTACTAGTTTCTTACTACTTTCTCATTGCTTTTCAAAAAATTTTATGATGAAAAATTATTTTTTGTAGCAATAATAATTAAATTATTTTTCTCACAATTAACTTTATAAAAGATTATAGTCCTCACAAACAGATCCTAAATAAAAAGGCAGCTAGAATTGGACTGCTATTGCTTGTAAAATGACAAACAACAAGCTGTTTCTTTTAATGGAAGCAGAATCAGATAAGGCAGAAACTCTGAATGCCTTTATTTCTTTAATGAACTTTCTTAATGTTTTACTTTTAGATCTTCTTTTCATTGATTAACAACAAATCTATTTAAATGTCATAATCATACACATCATCTGAAGATTTGGCTCTCTCTCTTTTTCTCCTCCTTTCACCTTTGAATTGCCTAAAGCCTTCCCTTTTTGTATGGAGCTGTAGGCATGTTAGAAATTATCTAATTACTTCTTAATTAAAGCGATAATTTTTCATATTTTGTGTAAGTTTTTGTCATTTAACATGTCATTAATCAGAACTAAAAAATGCAGTGAAACTCAAAAATGCCGTAATTCATCTCCAATTGAACTTCATTTTGTGCGCTTCTATGAAGGTAATCGTGTTTGTCCTCTTTCGCGTGTTTCTTCGGCAAATCCGGTTGAGACGGAAAAATCGCATAGGTGAACAGTGGATGCCAATATTGGCATCACACTGTTCACCTGTAAACAAATAGCGAAAGATTTGATTTTCGGCTGGATGACCGAATGATGCCATAAGCATATTTGGCGTTCGGTTGGAGATGCCCTAAGAGGCGAACTCATCTAGGATATGTGCCACTTATCCAAAAATTGACTTGTTTTGACCCGAAAATCCGAGAATGAAAATTTACCTGTTTTGACCCGAAAACTCGAGATTGACCTCTTTTTTACCCAAAATTTGGAGATTTACCCATTTTTGACCAAAAAAACTAGCAATTTCTGGTCGATCCCAGGTCATTCAGGTCTTGTCGGGTTGACCCGGCCCCGGAGCAGGTCGGGTTGACCAGAATAGTGCCGGATCAGTTCTGAATTTGACCCGAACTCGACTGATGACCCAAAAGTGACAACCCTTATTTTTAGCAAAAATGATTATTATGATAACATTATGTTAATGTCACTCATCCTCCTTTTATGTTGCCCTATCTGTCTAACTAAACTTACCAGTATGGTCAATGTTCATCCACACATAAATTTTGATCAAATAATAATATTCTTTGAGATGACCATTTTACCCTCTTAATTAAGAAGAGAAAATGTTAATCACTCCTTACTAATTCTAATAAAAAACCCTTAATATTATGCATCTTTATGAGTGCTTGATTGTTTATTTATGCATTATAATGACATCTCACATTCAAAGTCGGGTTTGATGTCATTGGGTAGAGTTTAAATATCTGATTTTACTAAAGTATTTTAAGTAGAATTATATCCCTTCCCCAATTTTTATTGCCTCATTTTATGGTTGGTGTTGTACTTTTAAAAGTTTATCTAATGCTTTCAAAAGTACATAGCTACTTGAGCAAATTCCTACGTGAGGTTCTGATTGGGTATCCACGCTTTGAGTGGGCCGGCTTCGCCCACCCATGGTGACTTTTAGGATGTCATACCCACCCACTTTTCACGCTTTTTGAATGCAGTCCTCCACAGACTGATGGTCTTGAGGCTTGTGGTGCTTTGCTATGACTGCAAACTTTCAAGCCGCATATCAGAATTTATCATGGTTGCAACGTGGTTCAGTGCTGCGCATTGCGTAGTGAGGATTACGGTAATATACGATATACGATGATTAATAATGTAAATCAATTTATCCCCCGATATTGAGTACGCATCCATACTCACATATGAGGCTATATGCGTAAAATAAAAAACGAGGCTATATGCGTACCCATACCCACCTGTACCCATTGGGTGAGTACGTGGGTGGGTGTCAACTTTTCATTCATATTGAAAATTTCTTAGTGATATATTTTTTGGTCCACACGTCTTATGTATATATATATAACTTTTTATGTAGCCTTTAAACAAAGAATGGCATGGCAATTTCAAAAGAGAAGGAAGTCATTTGGAGCCATTCGATGTCAGAGATTATTCTGTGCGGTGTTCGAACACGTCCGCAGGCCAATTCAAACGCGCCACATCATCCAATATACTATGCATTGGGTGATGTGGCACATCTGAATTAACCTCAGAAGCGTCTGTACACTCCACAAAATAATTTTTCGTTCCATACAATATTACAATATTTAAAATCTTTCATATATATATATATATATATATATATATATATATATATATAT